TGTGTTTGTAATAATAAATTACATTGGTTCTAACATGTATTAAAAACATCAAAGTCTGATGTGAATATACAATAAATAAAAAGTAAATGCAGAAACATTTTTGTTCAGTATCACTAATAAAAATGAGATGCCAATCGCAGAGCACCTCTAGAGCTCTCCATAGTCCTGCACCCGGCTGTGTGCTGAGCTGATGCTGTGGTGGTCATGAAAGAGCATGAGACTGATTCCTGATAGACCCCAGTGACAGACGAGTCCTCTCGTTGATCCTGTGGGCCAGCCTGAACACTCGCCGGTGACCTACTCACACCTGCAGCTTCTCCACGATGTACGTCCAGCGTTCTCCAGCCTAGACTGCAGCTCTGCACAGAAGTTTGGCCAGAGGAGAAATGGTCGTGCCTAACTGAGCCTGGTTTTTCTCCTTCACTTTGGTCAATTGGTGAAGTTTGTTCCTCCACTGGCTTGCTTGATTTGGGACTTGTGGAGCTGCGCATCGATGGATTTGCTCTTCAGTGTTTGGACTCTCAGCAGTGAAGATTAAACCACACTGAACTGAGCTAAACTTCAACTCTGAAAACTGAACTGACAACGTTTCAGTTCACTAGAACTTCAGTGTTCAGCTGCTTTGACACAATCTACATTGTACAAGCGCTACAGAAATGAGGTGAACTGAAAAATATCTGAAACTAAAAGACTTTAGAAAGCAAGACTTTTTATTTGTATATATGCAATCAAAATTGACCGTTTCAACATAAATCTAAACATACAATTGAAGTCAGAATTATTCGCCCTCCTGTGAATTTTTTTTGTCTAATATTTGACGATAAATGATGTTGAACAGATTCAGGTATTTCCTCTAATATTTGTTCTTCTGGAGAAAGTCTTATTTGTTTTATTTCGGCTAGAATAAAAGCAGTTTTACTAGTGGTGGTCAACGGTAGAAGCAAATGTGTCGTAGCTTCAAAACCCGTCTCTACAGTGACATCTAGTGGTCATTTTTTATGTATTGCTCTGGAACAGCTTCAGCAAAGAAATATCCCATGGTGTACAGCAGGGCTGTCAAACTCAATTCCTGGAGGGCCGAAGCCCTGCACAGTTTAGTTCCAACCCTGCTCCAACACACTTACCTGTAGGTTTCAAACAAGCCTGAAGGACTCAATTAGTTTGATCAGGTGTGTTTAATTAGGGTTGGAACTAAACTGTGCAGAGCTGCGGCCCTCCAGGAACTGAGTTTGACACCTGTGGTGTACAGGATCAGGCTTCAAGTGATTTAGTGAAGCGGTGAGACTTCCTGACTAGCATGCAGAGATAATGGGTTTGAATCTAAGGTGATGCAGCGATAGATTCCATCATAAAAAGTAACATTATTAAAATACATCGTCATAATTTCAGTGTATTTGTACAAGTCAGGATTCGAACTCGGGATTTGCAGCACAGTTAGGGTGGACTCACACTATGCCATCCGTACCGTGCCCAGGCCCGTTTGAGAAGTGGGAGTGCGCTGAATCGGGCTCAAGCGTGGTTCACTTGGCCGGCCCTGGCCCGGTTGGAAGAGGTGGGCCTGACCGCGGTTCACTTGGGCTTTGGTGCGGTACGCTTGAGTGTGAGTGCAAAACGCGCCAAAGCCCGAAACTGAAAGCGAGACGTGACTTTTAAGGCACTGTTTCATATGGATTTATTAATCATTCTTACTGTTCAGTGAACGCAAACTGCCGTAGATTATTAAAGACGCAAACCCCTCACTGCACGTCAGCTGCACCTTCAGCAGACCTCCTCATTCCTGCAGCACGAGGGCTTTATGATTGTTTATGAGCGCCAAAAGTGGCGGATCTGTTCGGGGTAATATCTGACTGCGTGTCACCGCATCCCTAAGGACTGTTTGGTGAAATATTTGACGGCATATCAAACGACTGACACGATATAACTAGAGAAATCTCCACTGTGCTGCTGAGTGAGAGAGCGCTTCTCACTGAACAGCGCAGCAGCGATGACGTAAGCGTGCCGAAGCCCGTTTGTGGTGTGAGCACGGGCCGTCGGGGGAGACAGGAGGGGGGGACAAGCGTGCTTTGGCCCGGTTCGAGGCAACTGTACCTAGTGTGAGTACGGCTTTACTCTGTGTATACGCATGTTACACTAGGCTATATGAGCTTTTTTCCAACCCTGTCAATCCAAGCGGCAACCTCCCGCTCTCCCTCAGGAAGCCAATACAGAAGTAACTAAAACTGCAATTCATCCGAAATTCCGACTCCAAAACAGAGCAAATTTCAATTGAGCACACTGTTAGAATGGTCAACTTTACAGCAGAAAAAAAGGTGTTTACAGCCTGCTACAACAAAAGATTTGGGTTAATACAGGTAATATCACCCTTCATGACAACTGTGAGGGGGTGAATTTTTTTATAACTCATCCGTTTCCTTTATATTAAGTTATTTTAAGTTTGCATAATTAAGGGCGTGGCCACTTGAGTGACAGCTAGGTCGCCGTCACGTCACCTCAGCTGAATCCTGCAGATTAGCCACTAAACTCAGCATATTTATCGTATTTCTGTGTTGTTTTATGTGGCTTAACACAGTCAACTGCCTTTTGGACTTGTTTCCTACAATTATTGGATGGCATGGCATGCTGAGTGCACTTAAATGTGCTCACAAACCATTCACGTGGCCTCTGTTCCCCATGTGAGTAAAGTTATATACTTATCTACCATCTCAATACATGTATTTGTTTTATTTAAGATCATTTATCGTTTATATTTATATTTAGAGCTGTAATGCACTCCAGAATCTGTCAGATTGATTAGCTGTAGGCTCTAGAACAGTCATCTGAAGTGTTGTCATACAGTGTTATGCTGGAGTTCATCAATAGTCTTACAGTAACTAACACAGACTATATCTGAAGTGTTTGGAAGTCATTCGCATTTTCCTCCTGTTGAAAAACGTCATAAGAACAAGTACATAGTGGCTCAGTGTGTTACAGCAGTGTTTTTAAAAGTCTAAACACTTTATTGATATAGTGTACAACCAAGCACAAGTGGTCAGAACACAAACGAGTCGCAGGTGGTAGTGTTAATCGTTCTCCCAAAGTAAAGTGTGTCTGAGCCAGGTCCAAGCTAAATGCCAGCAGGTGTCTGTAGCTCCGCCCACTCTCCGCCTCTTTGCCCTTGTTTGGCATCCCGCCGTGGGTGTGATGACGCGCGAACAAAATGGCAACGGTTGGCCACGCCTACTTGTGGCTTCTTATGCGCTCTTTAGAAACCTATGGGTGACGTCACGGATACTACGTCCATATATTTTACAGTCTATGGCTAATCCTAGTGATTCGCTAGGTCTCGAAACGCTTCTGAAATGCTGATGCTGATGACTGATGCTTTGAATCGCTTCAGTCGCGTAACCTAGTGTTTCCAAACACTTTAGTCACGTGACCTGGGTGTTTCGGATCATGATTTGGTGGTGGATTTTTTTATTATGCATTATTTAATATGCACTTTTGTTTTATTATGCATTATTTATTATTTTATTTTGTTATGTTTTATGATGCATTTTTATTTTTATTATTCACTATTATGCATTTTTTATGATGAATATTTAACTTAAGCATTTAATTTTTTTATTATGTATTATAATTTTTATTATGCATTATTTTTATGCATTTGTATGATGCCTATTTATTTTTTATTATGCATTTTTAATTTTTGTTATGCATTTTTATTATGCATTGTTATTTTTATTATGCATTAGTTTTTATTAAGCCTTATTATTTTCCTTTATGCATTTTTAATTTTTATTAAGCATTTTTATTCTTATGCAGTTTTTATTAAGCATTTTTTTTATTTTTTATTATGCATTTTTATTTATATTATTATGCATTTTTATTTTTTATTACATTTATGCATTGTTTTATTATGAAGCTTTATTTTTTATTATGCATTTTTATTTTTATTATACATTTATGCATTCATTTTATTATGAAGTTTTATTTTTTATTATGCATTTTTATTTATATTATTATGCATTTTTATTTCTTATTACATTTATGCATTGTTTTATTATGAAGTTTTATTTTTTTATTATGCATTTTTATTTTTATTATACATTTATGCATTGTTTTATTATGAAGTTTTATTTTTTATTATGCATTTTTTGTATTATGCATTTTTATTCTGCATTTATTATGTATTTTTATTATGCATTTTATTATGCATTTTTATTTTTTTTATTATGCATTGTTTTACATTTTTATTATGCCTTTTATATTCAGCAATTCTTTTTTTATTATGCATTCATGCATTTTTATTTTTTATTATGCATTTATATTTTTTTATTATGCATTATATTATACATTTTTATTTTTTTACTATGCGTTTTATTATGCATTTATGCATTTTATTTTTTATTATGCAGTTTTATTTTTTATTATGCATTTAAATTTTTTTATTATGCATTTTATTATGCATTTTAATTTTTTTTATTATGCATCTTATTAATGCATTTTAATTTTTTTTATTATGCATCTTATTATGCATTTTAATTTTTTATTATGCATTTTTATTATGCATTGTATTATTTTATTATTGAATTTCAAATTTCACAAAAGCCAAAGTGTGTTATGTTCTGATAAAAAAAATACTCTGAATTTAATTATTTTAATGAAGAATTAAGAAGAAATCCTGTTTGACCTCTATATAAAATAAATACTCAAAATATTTACTGTGTGTTCCTGTAAACATGACTTATGTCCCAATGTTTTGAAACACTTGTGCTTCGGGATCTCAACGCTGTGTCAAAACACCAGTTTCAAATCATCATGGCGAAGAGAAAAGAAATCAGTTATTAAAACTGTTATGATTAGAAATGTGCTGAAAAGAAACTGTTAAACAGAAATTGGGAGAAAAATATACAGAACAGCGAATAATGCAGACTTCAACTGAATAAGCACTGAACTATTATCAGTGCATAAATGCAAAATCAACGCAAATAATGTGAAGAATTAGAGCAGGAGCCTGTAGGTAAAATGTAGGACAGGGCAACTCTTTATTATGAAAGATACATCAGAACTAAACATCAGAAGTGTCCAGAAATCTCAGCTCTGAATACATGGCAAACTCACAGATGCAGAACGGCTGAAATCAGCACAACATCCGACAGAAAAACACAAGCAGAGGCGGAGGAAGGTCAGAGCGGCATGCGGTTTCCCTCCACGCTGATCTTGACCGCGTGTCCGGGTTTCGTCAGACGCTTGATGTCTGCGAAACGCCGCATCTGTTTATCCACTCGAGACAAACCCTTCTTCGCCGGGCCCTGAGGAAAACACACACACACACACACACACACACACACGTCAGCAAACACAGTACAGGACTCACACTCTTGCAGATTCAAGGACTTTTCACAGTCATGTTTTTTACTGTGAATAATATTTGTAAAGGAGCTGTTGAGATGAGTTGATCTGAGAATTGAGTTGTGTTTAATAAGAATGAAACGACAGGAGGAGAAAGCACTGAACTAATGAAATGTGTTTATTACTGTATTTAAAAGGCTTTTTGGTGCTGGCAGATTAAAGACGCCTCTCATGTGGAGAATGAAGCCTCATGCATTGCTCAGGTGTGAGTTGTCTTCAACAGAGTGTCTAAATCTTGATGCTTTTGTGGGTCTCGTCTATCAAATCTGAGCTTTATTTAGTATTTTCTATCGGATTCACATCAGGTGATTGGCTGGGCCATTCTACAGCTTGATTTTCTTTCTCTGAAAGCATCAGAGAGTCTCTTTGGCTGTGTTTTGGATCACTGTCTTGCTGAAATGTCCACCCTGGGTTCATCTTCATCCTCCTGCTGATGTAGATGTTGGACTGAAGCAGCTGATGTTCATTTACACTGAGGAAGGGCAGAGGCTTGCTGAAGAACTACTGAGAGATTTCAGCTGCTGTCTGGTCTTTCACTGCTGAACTACACCTCCCTTTCTTCATGTGTTCAATGCTTTTTCCCCTTGTCATTTCAGTTTATTAACTTCATTTGTAAACTCATTAGATTTGTTTTTTTTGCATATATTAGTTTCTCTGGTTGTTATCAACATCTGGGGACAATTTCAAGTCAACGGCTCCTTTAGAGAAATGTTTTCTGAGAAAAATGGTGACGTGTTCAATACTTATTTACCCAACTGTATATAGTTTTTATTTCAAATTTAAGTGAAGCACTTTCAAGGATCTGTTTGTTTTTAAAGTTCTTTCCAGACCTTCAATCCATATGTGTGAAATTGAAGAACCCTGACAGTAAAACAGAAAAAGAGAATCTAAATCAAAATGTGGAAATGTGCATTCATATATGAAAAATGTGCAGTAAAACCATTCGATTCTATTTAAAAACCAAAGTATAGAGTTTTATAGAGATTTTATAGTTAACATCAGCTTTGGTGGCTATTCCATGAAATATAATTTGATTATTTATAAATAAAACATTTTCAAAACACCTAAAATAAATAATACATAACAAAATAATTTTTATTTTTTTTAAGATTAAGTTAACTACACTAAAAACTATTTAAAAAAATACAACAATTGAACGTATAAAACCTAAAAGGCAAAACATGGCTGTTAATCATGCGATACTCTGCAATAACAGCACTCGTACAGCCTCCTCACCCTTGTGTATTACTCCGCCCACATAGTGACAGATAACCCACGACAGTTTGACCAATATTGCAGCTGTTGGCTTTTTTTTAGAAGAGAATGTAGTTGTTTAGATTGCAGCTATGCAATTTCTTTATAAAGATAATGCCTATATTAAGTATTTATCTATTCAGAGATTCAGCGTGTCGGTGGCCATACTGGGGTCCAGTCTTCGTACGTGGATTACTCAGTTAGCTGGATTTGGATATTGACGATTTGGCACGATCCAGGATCGTTTCGTTCTTCAAAGCTGATCTGAGAGTCGTTGTCATAGCAACAGTTCTGCTAGCTCAAATCTGGTCGGAAGCAGGTTCAATTTATATAAACAGGATTAGATCGGCTCAGTTCATGCAAAGATAATACAGAAAGTATGTACAGATATTTTCTTACAGTAGTAGTTATATACACTTGGGAAAATAGTAAATATTTTTTAACTATATAAAGTTATAGTTATTAATAAAATAAATAAAGTTATATATATATATATAATTTATGCAATTTGCGCCAACGAAATGAAAGTACAAAGACTGCCACCTGGTGATGTAAAGACAAAACTTATTGATATGAACTTTTTAGATGGCTTTTCTACAATTTGTGTATGATAATAGACATATATAATAGATAATAGTTATATTGTCTATTATAGTATAGATAATAGACAAAAGCAATAATACATGCAGTCATAAACATGTTTTGACAGCTAAAATGACGGTGATTTGATGCTTCATAAAAGTTGCAGACGTCTTTACCAATATCAAAATGTTTTTGTAAACATTTAAAAAACCGGCTATGATAATACTACTATGACTATAATAAGGAAAATCCGCTCCAACTGTAAAACTAAATAAATTGCTCTTGACACATGAAAGAGCCAAGCCTGCAGCCCACAGCAAAGTGTAAAGTTATTGCGTATTATATTGAACAAACCGTTCACTGCGAATTTGATGTAATTTTGCTCACATGGATAATTGAATATTAATCAGATGATGTCATTACGCTGCTGTGCCGTCAGCCAATCGTTGCATTGCTGATCATGATTTCGAGGATCGATAGATCTGTCCTTCACAACACACGCAGCGATCTCAGATCAGTTCATTCAGACATTCTAATCTGATTCACGAACTTGTTTGAAGAACCAAATTATCCAGAAATCAGTTATCAAGATGAACAGATCCAGGATCTGCCAAATCATCTCAGATCATTTAATTGAGCTACGAAGAACGAACCCCTGGTCAGCGGTTTCTGCTGTTTTGACGTCAGCTGTAGATGTGAATGAATGGCGGAAGAAAGTAGTTCCTCATACAAAAGGGTTTTAAGACTCTGTGTTTGATCTTCTTTTCTATATACACAATTGTGCCGTCAAACTGTTGTGTAAATGCAATATCACACTTGTAGCAGTGCCATATGGCTGTATATAAGCACTGGTAGGACACTAAGGTATTCGGCCTGTGACCTCGAGCCAACGCACACCTCCCACTATATAAAGCCATGTTGCACTGCTACCCTTGTAATATTGATAGTATATATATATATATATATATATATATATATATATATATATATATATATATATATATATATATATATATATATATATATATATATATATATATATATATATATATATATGTATATATATATATATA